AATGACGTTTATTCAATTTCATATATCAATGGACTGATCTGAATAGAACCAATCATGGAAACAGTGTGAAATCTGCGCCGCTTCATCATCGAACATCAATCACAAGAAACAGTAGAAACACACACAATCAGTAAATTTAAGAAGCACGAAGTTCCTCGCAGGAGGAATGATTCAACCAAACTGAGAATATTATTATCTCTGTTCTTGATTTTTCAGGAAAGGTACGAAAACAATAGTATTCGCTGTAAGACTTATCGATATCACTTGTTACGAGGACTCCAATTTTTAATGTAAGGGTACGAGGACAAAAAAAGGACCTCGCATGAATAACTAATACACAGAGTCGTATTAGTAATAGTAAGTCAAGGAATGTCTAGAAAACACCAAGACCTAACTATACTAGGTAAATGAAAAATATTGATATTATTATAATTCACAAAGTAGCACAACAATAGTGGCTTTCAGAGGGATCACATTTTTTCTCGCCAGTAATTAGATCATCAAGGAGTTCTGAAATGTTGACAATTGAAGATGCATGAATTGGCAAGAAACATTGCAATCAATAAGAGTATATTCCCGTCATTTTAGCCAGTGTGCCTTTCGGTTTTTAATAAATATGAAATAGTTATTTGTTATACAAGGCAGGAAAGTAGAGCAGATTGACTGCCGCGACTGATAGTTCATAGCCGTGCGTAGCGAAGCTACGAATTCAGCCAAGGCAGTCAATCTACATTTACTGCCGTATATATTTTCTTCATGTTCCTAATATGTCTGAGAATATTCCTTTTCAATACTTCTATACCCAATCAAGGGGTTCAAACTTGAACGATGGAAATTTGTTTTGACATACCTCTAATCAAAGAAACGTTATTGGGTTTTTTCAATTCTGAATTTCTTTCCACGACCTGTACGATGAATACCAATTCATCATACACTATAAACAAATACGGGGTGGTTCACAAATCAAAAATGTAAACCACCCTGCATTTGTTTGGTGGTTCAGGAATCTAAATTGCAAACCATCCTGCATTTGTATGGTAGTTCAGAAATCTAAATTATGAATCACTCTATATTTGCTTCAGTTAAATGTCAGTAGACAGTGAATAAAAAGTCAAGATATGTGTCATATAAGCCGTTATGATCAATAATGAATAGTTTCGAGACAAAAAATTCCTAAACAATAAAAATATATATTTTTCACACCCCTATATCTCCGTCATCATGCCCGCTAAACCGCGAGTGTGCTATGTTGTGATAGATCGATGAAATCAACTCTTCAAGTAGAACCTCGAAATACAATAAAATACAGGATGTTCCGTGAAAAATCGAAACTTTGGTATGCCGAATATTTTCGAAACGTATAGGTATAGAATTCAGAGCCCGCTACGAAACTGATGGTGTACTGAAATTTCATAATATGTTCCCATTTAGTCAGAGTCCGCCATGTTGCTCGTGACTAACCCTGTATATAAAAATATTTCAAACACTGTAGCGTTGTCGCTTTTACTAGGAAGTAGTTGCCACTCAGAAATTTTAAATTGAACACGTTGTATATTTTATCATTTTGAGAAACTCTATCACTTTGTTGTGAACTTCACCAGATATTTTCCTAATAGTTTGGCCGGTAATGACAGATTTTGTTCAACGTTTTTTCAATGTATGCATCTTCCAATACCTACCTCCTTTTCCTATTCTCCCTAGGAACGCACGATGTTCTTTGAACATTATAGGGATTTCCTTTCTTGCGCTCCAAGCGATAAAAAAATGTACTAGACAGGTATCTAAGTGTGCTCGCATGCAGCGTCATTACCACTCAAATTCGAATTGGCATTGGATTTTGATGATTCTGAACGATTATTCAATGCTTGCAAATTGGTCTTCGTTGAAATTTGAAAAAAATATCCCGCAGAAAAATAATTTATTTATTTATTTATTTATTTATTAACGGGTGAACCCAGTGTAAAAAAAAACATGAATATATATAGCCTATACAACATATCACAGACCATTGATTGATTTATACATATCTACACTTTAAATACAATGAACATTAAAAATAAAAACATTACATTATTGCAAGAATGCGTTTGGCTCTTTCAGTGCCAGTGTTAAAAATGTCCCAGTTCACTCTGTTACTCAGCGTCATCATCCTGTTTATCGGGCTATTGTTTGCATATATAGTTCTATGAGTTTCTAAATTGAACGTGCTGCTATAACGTAATCGTTTTTGAGGAACATGAAATTTTAGGGAGGCCAATAATTCAGGACAATCAATCTGATTATTACATAATTTTTGAATAGTGATGATGTCATTGTTGCTTCTACGCTCTTCTAGGCTTTTTATGTTTAGGCGATTTAAAATATTGTCATAATCAAATTCCTCCATAGGAATACCGAGCTTGAAACCAATATAACGCAAAAAACGTTTCTGAACTCTTTCTATTTTCATGATATGAGCTTGGAAGGCAGGACACCACACAGAGCTGCTATTTTCAAGTTGAGAGCGTACCAATGAAAAGTAAAGGGATTTCAATGCCATGATATTATGAAAGTCCTTTGTTGATCGTTTGATGAACCCTAGCATCTTCAAAGCTTTGTTACAGATAAATTCAATATGAGGAATAAAGCTAAGTTTAGAGTCAAAAAGTATACCAAGATCTTTCATAATGTCTACCTTTTCAATGACTACATCATTTAAGGAGTACTCATCATTGTTAATTATGCTGTGATTTTTGCTGAAACGAATATATTTACATTTTGGAATATTAAGAACTAGTTTTTTCTTGTGGCACCACACAGAGAACCTGTCCAAGTCCTCTTGAAGATGATTTGAGGAGGAGGGTCTCTCCAATTTGAGATATATTTTCATATCGTCAGCATATAATAATATTGAACTGAATTTAAAGCAAGAAGATACATCATTAACAAATAAATTGAACAGTAAGGGTGCTAAATGAGCACCTTGAGGAACTCCAGAAGTGATTACAATTTCATCTGACAAGGAGGAATTAATCTTAACTCTTTGCCTGCGATTATCTAGATAGGATTTTAGCCATGCCAACAAACTGCCTCCAAGGTATTTGGACAACTCATAAAAAAGCAAATTATGATCTACCTTGTCAAATGCCTTGGAGAAATCTGTGTAAACTGCATCAACACTTAGTCCCTTCTCCAAGGCATCCACAATGTAGGTCTCATAGAGTAAAAGATTTGTAGTGATAGATCTTTCTTGGCAGAAACCATGTTGTGTTGAGCTGATGATATTTTTGAATTTAAACTTCAGAAAATCATTTACAATAGATTCAAATGTTTTGGGTATGAGCGATATCTTTGTGATTGGGCGATAATTTAATACAGAGTCTTTTCTTCCTGACTTCTTGTAAATTGGCACAACATAAGAGTTTTTCCAAAAATCTGGGAAAGTACCGGATTGAAGAGAATTATTGAAAATAATCCAGAGTGGACGGGACAATGAAAATGCACAAGATTTCATGAAGATTGCTTGTATAGTATCAGGGCCAGCCCCTTTAGAGCAATCAATGCTCTGAAGTTTTTCTAGAATGTCAGAAATATTTATAAATATTTTATTGATGCTGATGGAATCAAATTCACTGTCTGATCTAGGATCAATAGAGGTATTGTCACTGGAATATACTGAAGAGAAATGTTTAGCAAAAAGATTTGCAATTGAATTGCTATCAGTTGCAACCTCATCATTAAAGAATATCTTATTGGGAATACCATCCTCCTGATTTTTGGAGCGAATATAATTCCAGAATAATTTGGGATCAGAGATAATTCCGTTTTCTACTTCAGAAATATAGTTATTGTAGCATGATGATGATTGTTCTTTGCATAATGATCTTAAATGAGAAAAAATGTTATAATCCTCCACTGAGTTGGTGCGTTTATATTGTTTATGAGCTTTTTTTTTCAGTATAGTATTATTTTTCAGTTCTTCATCAAACCAAATAGGAAATCTCAATTTGCCTTTCAGTCTGATCACAGGTGTGAATCTGTCAATTCCTCGAAATAAAATATCATAAAAAAGTTTGACAGCATTATTAACATCAGTGGCAAGGATTTCATCCCAATTGATGTCAAGAAGGAATTGGTTCATAGCTTGGAAGTTGCAGTTCTTGAAATCATATGAGAACTCTTCAAAGTCCAGTATTTCAATTGGTGTATGACATTTGATGTTTATACTTAAAGCAGGATGATGACGATCAAGTTTCAAAAGGACATCACTAGCAATATTGACTATAACATTAGGATTGTTTGAAAGAACTAGGTCTAGTATCACATTATTATTGTTGCTTATTGAATTCAGTTGATAAAAGTTCAGATAGGAAAAAGTCTCAATAAAATACTCAGCTGTGGAACTGTGTCCATGAGCACTGATTCCAAGATGATCATTATTCCATTGAATGTTGGGTAAATTGTAGTCTCCCACAATGCAAACAGTTGAAGATTCAAAAATGTTTGCCATGAACTCTGTGGCTTCACAATGTAGTTGATAGACCAGTTTATTTGATTGAGGGGGAATGTATACGGCTCCAAGTAATAAATTCTTGTCCTGTAGTTTGACAGACACCCACAACTCTTCAAATTTCACCTCATCAGCTGAATGTTTGTAATCAACAGGATTGGATATGAGAGAATTTCGCACTGCAATCAGAACTCCTCCACCTCTGACTTTGGTGGTAGAAAGCAAATCACGATCTTGTCTATACAGGTTGTAGCCGTTAAAGCCAAGTTCTGCACTATGAATATCTTGATTAAGTGAGGTTTCCGTTAGAACTATCAAGTCATACTCAAACGCAGACAGATTTTTTATAAGGTCAACTATTTTAGTACGTAGGCCATTAACATTCTGGTAGTACATGGACAGATTTCCATTATATCGTTGGCTGTGACAATTCAATGAAAATTTCTATTCACATTGTGATTTTCACGTACCTCAGTCGAGACTTCATTGCTTTCTTGGTTTACCAGGATACTTGGGTCATTTTGACCAAGATTGGGGTCCCAGGATTGCTGGGCAGTGGCTGGAGACTTTTTTCTAAAGTTGAATCTCCTGAATACTGTACCATAAGGCCAGAAGCTAGTAGAGTTCAATTGTTCATAATATTGGTGATCGACCCCCACCTTGAAAGAGCTGTAGGATCCAGTAGTGTGCAATTGTTCTATCTCAAGTTCATTATCTTTGGAGATTGTAGCTTTGGTTTTTATGAAGTTCTTTATGACATCAGCCTTAACTTCTTTCTTCACTCTTCCTATATACAGCCACATTTTAGAAGGAGCTGCCTGGAAGGGCTCCTCTTCAGGAAGCACAGCTGTGCCTCTTTGGACTCTTCTATTATTTGACCTACGAGTTACAACCCTGAAAGGTTCTTCACTATGGTTGATAACAGTAACCATTGCTTCATTAATGGCATCGCTGACTTGAGAAGCAGTTATCTGAGCTTGTGGGTTCATGTTGTTATGTTTATTTTCATTATCTTTGTTTTCACTAGTCACTCTCTCTCTCACGGCCTTGAAATTACTATCATTAGCATTAGAAGAACTTGGCAATTGTTTACTTGTATTCTTCTCTGTTCTTTTTTGGGCGTTCTGAAGCACTGGTCTGTTTAGACTAGAAGGTCCATGAGGCAACTTCCCAGCAATGTTGCCATTATTAGAAAGGGAAGAAGAAGAATTGTGTTTTGCTACTTGGGCAAAGGACTGGTTTTTTGTGTCAGGTAAAAAAGCAGGAATGTTGGATGTATTTACCTCGTTTGTGGAGGGAATCTTGAGGTTATCTAACTTCGATTCTATAATTCCAATCTTTCCGAGGATCTCATGAATAACATCAGTTGCTGAACTTTCTTTGGCATTTATTCTTTCTAAATCAATAATTTTGGTTTCTAGGATGCTTATTTTATCATAAAGCGACGAGTTTTCTTCTGAGTATAATTGAATCCGGGCCAAAAGTTGATGTATCTCATCTGTATTTTCCAATTCTTGATTTTTATTCACTAGGGTTTGGTTTTCTTCCATGACCGCGGGCTTGGAGGCAACATAGCATTCTGAGCACATGAGCAAGTTATAACCTATAACTTTTAATCCTTTTTCCCGGACAGCACAGGCTGGGTGATATAAAGCACCACATTCTACACAGTACACTTTACTTTTGGTATCTCTAGAGCACTTTTTACATGCACTCGTAAATTCTTTATTGCAAGTTTTAGCGTTTTCTTCAGCTTCATCATCTGATGAAACTTCACTCGGCGCCATCTTGCGCCATACGCTGCCTTCGTGTAAGAAGTCCTGAAATCATTGAGTGAACATGTAACAAAGAAGGGGTATTGTTGAACAATTATTCAACGTATGCTTTTTCACAGACCTATTTTTAGTGTAACTTGTATCACGATAAACTACTTTGCATACAATCGTGGCGTGCACATGCGCTATGAAAATTTTTTGCACATGCACTTTTTGTATTCACTAGGAAAAATCATTTAATGTATGCACACCACATAATTCAATTGCGTTGAGTGAAAAAGCATACGTTGAATAATTGTTCCGGAATACCCCCTCTTTTTCACATGTTCACTTAATAATTTCAGGACTTGCTACACGGAGGCAGCTTATGCAAATGTTTTCTGCAAGATATTTCGTGTGTGTGACAGAAATAGAAGTTTCGATGTTGCGCCGTCACACCCATTGATCATATGGAAACTCCGAACTCAAATATCTTCGTGGTCATTTGAAATAACCCAATCAAACCTGGTATCGTAGAATCCGTCATAATAATCTCTAACCAATTATGAAATGAAATATAGGGTGTTTCGTTTGTGAATCGAAAGTTGAAGTCATTTCCTGAAAAACGAGAAGGTGAGAAGGTGAGAAAATGTGTAAAAGTGTCCTCTAGAGAGCATATGCGATGTTCCGAATTCCAGAAATATAGCTAGAAAAACAAATGAGAAAATGGGAGTATACCATGTGTCTGTGTCACCCGGTATATCTGAACGTTTATCTTCGGTTCATGAGTAAGAAAACTAATGAGTCCTCCGTTTGGACATTCCGTAATAAATAGATGAAATTATTTATTAGACATCACATCATATTCCATCTTGATACTATAAGTTATGTGGTAGGAAAACTGAGCATTAGCTCTTGAAATATATAGACAATAACAAATTAATACTTCGAGCTACCTAGTACGAAACCACAAATTATAAAACGATTCCGCTAAACTACCGTATTACTGAAAACAACTGTCGGGATATTATGTATTTTACTGGATTCAGTGCCCTCGCTAGGAGTGTTGTGTATAGTTTCCGTCAGCCTCATTCAAATTTTGAATGGGAGCATTCCATTGGTGTTCATTATACACACAGTGTGTATCGATTGTCCTCGCATTAGGCCTAGATGGTGGATACTCTGTGTATATAGTTTTTTCGATGCGCTACCTATCGGTGTGTGACGGAACTGGGCGTCCGTTGAGGATCCGTCTTACGAGGACACATCAAATTTTCATGATATAGGTATAGAAATGATCGGAATGAGCTGAATAAGGCGATAGCAAGGACAGATATCTGCGAGGACATTTTTTCGGTCCTCGCATGCCAAAATGTCCTCGCTACCTAGTATTTGAACTTGCTATTGTCCTCGTAAACCCCGTCTTACAAACACACACACACACACACACACACACACACACACACACACACACACACACACACACACACACACACACACACACACACACACACACACACACACACACACACACACACACACACACACACACACACACACACACACACACACACACACACACACACACACACACACACACACACACACACACACACACACACACACACACACACACACACACACACACACACACACACACACACACACACACACACACACACACACACACACACACACACACACACACACACACACACACACACACACACACACACACACACACACACACACACACACACACACACACACACACACACACACACACACACACACACACACACCTATACGTAGAAGGGGGGGTTTATGAGGACTTTGAACCAAATGCCCTGTAGCGAGGACCCTGTGAAGGAATCATTTTAAGCACATGAAATATGCGTGGTGGACGATTATCATGTATATGGTATCTAAATTTGATAATACACTCAATGAATTCTCTTATTTTCACTTCACACTTTGCAGTTTTGCTATTTCCCGCTATTTTCAATAGTTTTTGTGTGAGGTTGAGAGGACACAGTAATGTTATGAGGACAGTGTATAGTATTTTATTCTTATTATATCTCGAATAGTATCTGCATTCTTCATTCGGAAAATTTCAACTCTTTTGTGTGGATGAATTTCGATGGAAGTAATATGGAAATCTATTGACATTATTCGTATTGTGAATATAACTTCATACAATTTCTGTTCTGAAATTATTGTACAGGCGATCTATCGTAATTATTCGTTTCGTTTCATCGCTGGGCCCGAACTGAAGAAAAATAATTATTTTTTGAATATTTGATGGTACGTATAAATTGACATGATTTGCACTTCTGAAATAAACTACGTAACACTAATTTCGTCGCACCCCAAAATGTTGCTCATATTAAAATATCAATAACTTTTTTCTGCGTTGAACAATTCGAATTCGGATCACACTGTTCGCTATAGCTCAGTCCTTCAGCTATAATCTCGTACTTCTTCAGAACATAAGGTTCTTCACATAAAATCGCTACAGGGTGTTACCTGATTCTGTTCAAAATTTCGGAATTTTCAAAATGGTCCCAAATGAAGAAAAATTTTTTTTTTAGAACTTTGACAGCAGAATCATGAAGATGACCTCATTATCTTGGGACAGTTCTTGAATCGTCTTCTTATTTAATTCATTTACAGAGTGATTTCAAAAAAATAACTTTTCGGTTTTGCAGTCATACCTTTTTTCCTCGTCGACCGATTTTCCAAATCTCAGGCTCATTTTGGATCTGAAACTTCAGATGAAGAGATATGTACAGGGTGACCCACTCGGTGGCCGATTAGTGCAAGGAAGTGAGATAATGACTCCGCTGTTTAAGACAGATGAACAAAGTTTTCTGAGATATGGTATAAGCACATGAGCAGCACATTTCTAAAATATTTTGCGTTATACAGGGTGGCTCAAAATGCGTGACGTATCAAAGTTACCTATATTTCTTCTTATGGAATATCCTGTATTGTATTGTATTTTCAGATTCTTCCTTATGAGCTGATGTCATCGATCTATCACACTTCAGGTTGAAGGAAAGTTATGACAGAGATATATGGTGTGAAAAATTTAGATTTTTCAATTTTCGATACTTTTGGTTCTAAGAAGTGATGACAGAGATAAGGAGTGTAGAAAATCGAGATTTCTCATCTTTCGAGATTCCTTGTGTCAATAGTACTCATTATTGATCGGAACGGCTTGAACGAATACAGGGTGGTTAATAATTCAGTATAATCATGAATCACTCTGTATCCATCAAAATTAAATGACAGTAGATAGTAAATCGAAAGTTGAAATGGGGAAATTGATGCCGTTTTGACCAATAATGGGTACTTTTGACCAAAAAAAATCCGAATGTTCAAAAATCTAGATTTTTCACACCCCCAAAATCTGTCATAACATCCCCCAAACCTAAAGTGTGATAGATCGATGAAATCAGCTCATGGAGAATCTGAAAATACAATACAATACATGGTGTTCTATAAGAAGAAGTATAGGTAGCTTTTATACTTCACGTATTTTTGAGTCACCCTGTTCAACGCAAAATATTATAGGAATGTGCTGCTCATGAGCTTGAACCATCTCAGAAATTTTTGTTTATTTGTCTCAAACAGCGAAGCCGTTATCTCACTTTCTCACAATAATGGGTTAACGAGGAAAAAAGTTATGACTGCAAAACAGAGAAGTTGTGTTCTTGGAGATCATTCTGTGAATAGAAGAAATAAGATGACCATTCCAAAACTGTAGCAAGATAATGAGGTCATCTTCATTTGAGACCCTTTCGAAAATTCGGTAATTTTGCACAGTTTCAGGTAACACCCTGTAGCGATTCAATGTGAAAAACCTCAGGTTTTTAGCTGAAGCACTGAGCTAGCGAACAGTGTGATCCGAATTCGAATTGTTCAAAGCAGAAAAAGGTTATTCATATTTCAATATGGTCAACATTTTGGGGTGCGACGAAATTAGTGTTGCGTAGTTTATTTGAAACGATGCGGCGTTGCCGCTCCTACTAGAAAGTAGCAGCAACTTTATGTTTTCAAACGGAACACCCTGTATTTCATTGCATTTTTAGAGTCTCCCTGGAAAGCTGATTTCGTGGAATGTATCACACTTGGTTTCTACAGATATATATAGGGTGTTGAAAATCAAGATTTTTCAATTTTAGGATTTTTATGTGTCGAAACTAGGTATTCATTATTGGTCAAAATGGCTTACATGGAACAAATATAGGGTATAGTTTGAAATTCAGAATTCTGACCACCCTGTATCTGTATGAATAGAGGGCCCGAAAGACCAGGCCTTGTCACTCTTCGGATCCTTTCATAAATCAAATACGTTAAGTAATAAAAAGGGTCAATATGATTAAGTGTCATGGTCTACCTAGTTAGGTTAGCATTGGGGTAGAACCAGGTCCATTCATGTAGTTGTGCTACATCGGAATTCCCCAACATCCAAAGCAAAACAAAAACACTCAGAGATTTTCTAATAGCTGAAAATGCTCTGAGATTCATAAAAAGACATTATAACACATCACACGAAATGCACTCTACCTTCATTCGATTAGTATCTGACCAGGTTAACTTTGGGACAGCACGTGGTGGGCGTTGAATGCGAGGCGGCCCTACGTTGAATCACGTGGTTTCTTAAAGTTACAGTGGTCAACTCTCCCTCTAAATCTCTTCAAGGAAACGAAAATAACTGTTTCAACCATTGTAACATTTTTGTTGAAATATCACTAAAAAAGCGAAGAACATCAAATAATAGCAATGGTTATGATGCCCTTGGAAAAAATTATGTTTGTGTGTAGTTTATC